AACATTTTTTATAGGGCGGATATATGGATAAACGGTTAATGGATTGGGACTCTACTTATAATGTTTATTAATATTACGTAGTAAAAATCCTTGCTTAGGGCTATTATAAAAAAATTTTAATTCCTTGTGACCTATATACTAATAGCTCAGGATTCTATCCGACTTCTATCATCAAACCTATTCCGTTATATAGGTGTAACGAATACGCCGTATAACGGAACTTCCAAATTTCTGTTATATCGATAGTTGACAGTAGTTTGCTCTTTATAATATAAGGTATTGGGGTTTGGAAGGATTAATTAGCTAGTTTTTGAATAATACATGCATAAGTATAAAACACCATAGGAACGTTTTAGTAAAAGTCCACAAATAATATGATTAATTTTAAAGATCTATTTAAATTTCAAAAAATTCGGTTCTGCCAAAATATAGTTGCCATCCAAACCTAACTAGTTTGGGACTTTGGGACTTTCTAGGGTATTAACCATATTTTGGGACTAGTTAAAACTTTGGAACTTAACCTGTCCCAAATTTACGAATTAGGGTATTGGACAAAATTTTAGATACAACCTGTTTGGACCAATAGTAATAATTATTGAACGGCAACGATACTGCAAAATGAACTTAAGCTAAACTTGTTCGTACGTACAAATTGCTATTTACGCCACAAGGCTCGAAGCAACAGCACCATGTACCAAATGATTAGTTGATATGATTTTTTACTACCGCTACTGCTATTTTTTTTTCGTAACACAGTGTATATAATCAAAACTCGTATTTTGTTGGTAAGTACGTACCTTTAGATGATGTAGACATGCAATAATAAGCAAATAAAAAGCCAGTCTATTTATATAAAGCAATTAAAACTTGTATTCTTATGTATCTTTTACCACAAAAATTTCATTTTATTTTTATTTTTAGATGAATGCTATTACATGACAAGATTGAGGTACGTCTATATACGTAATTTTTATCATGTGTAGTGTTAAAAATCGCGATCACGAGTTAAGAAAAAATTTTTTACACGACTAATTACTAGCATTAAGAAGATAAAATGCTAAGGTGTCTAAAAGGAATCAAGATCAAGCAAAAATAGAATATGCTTGACTGAAACCACAATGAATTTGTTTTTGTTCTTGTGCTTGAGTAAATTCTTTACTAGAAAGTGTAGTCTGGATTGCTGAAGATTTCTTTGTATAAATTCGTTGTTCTTTATCCCTATCTTGCGTTGCAAAATGCTATTTAAAATGAACAAATGGAATAAGAAAATAATAACTTCATTCAAACATCTAATTGATAATATCAGATATTATTATTACCTCAAAATCGGGATGTTCTTGATTATTTTTAGCCCCCATCTCCAAAAATTCATCACATTCTGATTTTTTATCACTTTTTGATAATTTTATTTTATATTCTCTTTGCGCGATTAAATCTTTTAAGGCTTGTAAAACGCGAGTTTTTTCATTAATCCAATCTTCACATGATTGACACTTGTTGAAGTCGTCATTTGGATTACCACAACCGCGACAAATTCCAAAAATCATTTTTCGACGAGCAAAAATATATACAGAGTTTTTAGAAGTTTTTAGTTGTGTATTCATTTTTTTTTTTTTTTTTTTTCTGGTTTCCCTAGGTAACCCACTGCTGCTCCAATCGCAAAAAACTGAGATAGAAAAAATAGGTTGAAATAAGTGATAACTGATTAAATCTTTTTATTATATAAATTATGTAAAGATACCCACTAAACAAAGACTAGCGAGGATTATAGTACCAACCCGAATAGGAATACTAGAAAAAAAAATATATATATATAGAAAGCCAATAATTTTAACAATTGCATGTAACTTTTTATGGAAATAATAATAATTTTCATAACTCTCCTCCTTTTCACATTACTTATCCAAGCCTTTTATTTTATAAAGAGGCATGCCGGTCAAATCGAACTAGAAACTAATAAAGTACATTGCTAGCAATTAGGAATCATGCGATAAAATTATAAAAACCCACCAGCAGCAACAAAATTCGGTCATTTTTTTTTTTTTCTAAGCAGACTTGAAAGCGGGCTAAAAAGAATATTTACGATAAACGAAACTTTTACATCTTCGCATTGTTAATATTGAGGCTTATTATTTATACCTTTTGTGAAAGGGGTAAAGTAAAAAAGGAAAAGTTACTGGCTTTGCAAAGAATGTCTGACGAATGGCTTTGAAACGCTGACGATCCAGTTAATATTTTATCAAATTAGCACGTTCAAGAATATATTGGATCATCACTATGTTGTAGACAGCATTTAGAAAGGCCGCCTAGTAACATATAAATGCTGCGTTGCCTCAATTTACATCGTATTATTAAATACGGCTTGGCTGATATTTGCTTTCCGCTTTTTATTCATTGATTTTTTGTTAAAGAAATTTCTTTTGAGGTGATCTACTTTACATTTATCTACATTTACATTACAGCATTAGGAGAAAAACATGTTCTATCCGGAAAAAAATGAAGTTCGATCCAAATTATCTGATGACTTTGTGTATTGCTCCACTTGCATCATCCTATCCTATCCAACACGCCATAATTTGACATGCTTCGCCAAGCCCCAATGAATTGTAATGCTACGATCTAACATAATAGAAGCCACAGCTATTTACTGTTAGAAAGCTTATAAAAGGAGGTTTGACTTTCTTAGAGAAAAAAAAAATCAAATTATTTTCGAATAAGCCTCTTTATTTCGTATTTTCATAATAAGATTCCTAATAAGATTTTTGATATGTCTTGAATTTTTCAAACACACAGTGAATAGAGATTTGTGATACGTTAGAGCAAATCATCAATAATGATAAAAATTGAAAATCCAAATACAGATGATCAAGATTAAATAATTTGCACTAAAGTTAGAAAGTTATCAGAAAAAATCAGACCTATCACGATATAGAATTTATTCTCCGGAGAATTCTATGAGAATTCTATTTAGACGCGTTTTAGGTTGAAGGGGCAATAATTTTAGGAATTTATAAACTAATAGATCAATGATCATATTTAATTGGTTATCTTGTATGTCAAATTAGACAAAGAAATTCAAAATGACTTAATGATGAAACTACACTATGTTAGGTAATACCTCCTCGTAAACTAACATTAATTTTCGCTCGTGAATTTCCAGGAATTTAATGTCTTGAAAAGGAAGTAACTTTTTGTTTGGGTAAAACAGTAGTAAAACAGTATGTAGAACGTAGGATAATCTGCACTAAACAATATAGTGTATGATAATGAATTTATTAACAAATTAGGATAAAAAGATCGATATTCAACCTATCATCATAAACTTTATACAATATAATTTCCAAAATTCCATTCTTTTATACGTATTGCCTAAATTCTATTAAATAATATATAAATATCAATGCATATGTTTATTCCAATATTGCTATATTAATAGTTTATTAATATAATTTATGCTTAAATGATATTACTTTTAAAGTATTTAATATATACCTGTAATATCGTGTGA